TTATTATAGGTAAGTAACCTAAAAGTTGCTTAACATCTTGCTTGTTTCTTCTCTAGTACTTGGCAAAATCAAGTAAAACTCGATTTTTGAGTTTCCAATTTCTGTCAAACTTAAAGTAGTGGGTTTTAAATTGTGTTGAATATAAAATCTATTTTTAGTAAATTTAACAATGATATGACCTTAAAAATTTATAGCTCATCAGTACTATCGCTGTTATTACTCTACTGCTACAATCTCTGCTAATTTAATAAAAATATTTTTTTAGCAAAGAAGTTTTCTTACAATCTAAAAAATTTTGAAGTATAGTATAATATGTTGTAATTTTTTTTATACAGTAATAATAATACTAATGTGTTTTTTCTTTTAAATACTTATTAGAAATGCATATTCTAAAACGCTGCCAGAATCGTCACTTCTGGTGCTAAGTTTAATGGAATGTCAAGAGTTGCAGAATATTATCAGAATGGAAGTGGAATAACAAGAAAAGGAGGTGCTTGAGTAGTTTTGAAACCTGAAAAAAGTGACAATTCAAATAGGCAACTTAACTTTAGACTAATATAGTATAGGCATGTTTAATAATGAAAAAAGATATTTAGGTAGTTGTTTAACTTGCTGAAAATGACAATTTAAATGGGCAACTTTAATTTGAGACTAATATTTCATAGGCACGTTTAATAATGAAAAAAGGTATTTAGGTAGTTGTTTAACTTGCTGAAAGTAGGGTGGAAAACAGATAGCCCGTTGGGCCCATATGGGCTTTTTTTGAAAATTTATTTGGGCCATTTCGTCAAAACACTAGTCACATGATGATTTATCATGTAACTAGAATTTTGGGAGATGGCCCAAATTAATTTCTAAAAAAAGCCCATATGAGCCCAACGGGCTACCTATTTCCCACCATAGCTGAAAGCAACAGTTCGAATAGGCAACTTAACTTTAGGCTAATATAGCATAGCACATTTAATGATAAAAAAAGGTATTTAGGTGGTTGTTTATCTTGCTAAAAGCAACAATTTGAATGGCCAACTTTAATTTGAGACTAATATAGCATAGACACGTTTAATAAAAAAAAAGTATTTAGGTGGTTGTGAAACTTGCTAAAAGTGACAATTCGAATGAGCAACTTTAATTTAAGACTAATATAGCATAGACATGATTAATGATGAAAAAAAAGTATTTGGGTGGTTGTGAAACTTACTGTAAGAGACAATTCGAATAAGCAACTTTAATTTTAAACTAATATAGCATAGGCAAGGTTAATAATAAAAAAAAAGTATTTATATAGTTGCTTAACTTGCTGAAAGCGACAAGTCAAATAGGCAACTTTAATTTTAGACTAATATAGTATAGGCAAGATTAATAAAAAAGAAAGTATTTAGATGGTTGCTTAACTTGCTGAAAGCGACAATTCAAATGGGCAACTTTAATTTTAGATTAATAAAGTATAGACGTGGTTAATGACAAAAAAAGTATTTAGGTGGTTATGAAACTTGCTGAAAGCAGTAATTCAAATAAGCAACTTTAATTTGAGACTAATATAGCATAAGCACGATTAATAATGAAAAAAAGTATTTAGGTGGTTGCTTAACTTGCTAAAAGTGACAATTCGAATGTGCAACTTTAATTTTAGACTAATATAGCATAGGCATGATTAATTATAAAAAAAAGTATTTAGGTAGTTGTGAAACTTGCTGAAAGCAACAATTCGAATGGGCAACTTTAATTTTGGATCAATAAAGTATAGGCACAGTTAATAATGAAAAAAAGTATTTAGGTGGTTGTGAAACTTGCTAAAAGCGATAATTCAAATGAGCAACTTTAATTTAAGACTAATACGACATAGACATAGTTAATAATAAAAAAAAAGTATTTAGGTGGTTGCTTAACTTGCTTAAAGCGACAGTTCAAATGGGCAACTTTAATTTGAGACTAATATAGCATAGGCACATTTAATAATAAAAAAAAAGTATTTAGATAGTTGCTTAACTTGCTAAAAGTGACAATTCAAATGAGCAAATTTAATTTTAAACTAATATAGTATAGGCACGTTTAATGATGAAAAAGATATTTAGGTATTTGTTAAACTTGCTGAAAGTAACAAATCAAATGAGTAATTTTAATTTTAAACTAATATAGTATAGGCACGATTAATAAAAAAAAAGGGTATTTAGGTGGTTGCGACACTTGCTAAAAGCCACAGTTCGAATAAGTGACTTTAATTTTAGACTAATATAGCATAGGCACGATTAATGATGAAAAAAAGTATTTAGGTAGTTGCTTAACTTGCTGAAAGTGACAATTCAAATAGGCACTTTAATTTTTGATTAATAAAGCATAGGCACGGTTAATGATGAAAAAAAGTATTTAGGTGGTTGTGAAACTTGCTGAAAGCGACAGTTTGAATGGGCAACTTTAATTTTAAATCAATAAAGCATAGGCACGGTTAATGATGAAATAAAAGTAGTTAAGTGGTTGTTTAAATTGCTAAAAGTGACAATTTGAATAGTCAAGTTTAATTTTAGACTAATATAGCATAGGCACGATTAATGATGAAAAAAAGTATTTAGGTAGTTGTAAAACTTGCTGAAAGTGACAATTCGAATAAACAACTTTAATTTTAGACTAATATAGTATAGGCATAGTTAATAATGAAAAAAAAGTATTTAGATGGTTGCTTAACTTGCTGAAAGCGATAATTCAAATGAGCAACTTTAATTTTAGACTAATATAGCATAGGCACATTTAATGATGAAAAAAGGTATTTAGGTAGTTGTTAAACTTGCTGAAAGCAACAATTCAAATGAGCAACTTTAATTTTAGACTAATATAGCATAAGCATGTTTAATAATGAAAAAAAAGTATTTAGGTGGTTGTGAAACTTGCTAAAAGCAACAATTCAAATAAGCGATTTTAATTTTAGACTAATATAGTATAGGCATAGCTAATGATGAAAAAAAAGTATTTAGGTGGTTGTGAAACTTGCTGAAAGTGACAATTCAAATAAGCAACTTTAATTTGAGACTAATATAGCATAGGCACGATTAGTGATGTGATCTGTTCAAATCCAGATCATTTGAATTACACAAGGTCAAATCCTTATTCGTACAGATTAATCTGCAATCTGCATATTCATTAAACAAATTAAATGGATAATCTGCAATCCGCAGTTAATTCAATAGTGATGTTTTAAAGCTATTGTATATTAGGCCTTTTGAAGTTAATTTTTCAGTTAACATCACCCCTTTGATGCCCCAGTAAAATGAACATTTTAAAAAAGTAAAATTAAAAAAATACCATATAATCATGAAATAACGTGATAGGGTATAGTTTTGAATTTCAGCCTAAATTAAGCTTAATTTAGGCTGAAATTCGAAATAACTACCTATACGCTATACAGGAAATATAAAATAAAAAAATAATTTAAAATAGAATAAAATAATTTAAAATAAAATAAATAATTTAAAAAATAAAAAATGATTTTTTTTTAAAAAAAAAAAACAAGGAAAAATATATATATAAAAAATAAAGCCAAAATTTTAGTTCCTACTTGGCTGCTCTCTCATATTTGTTTATTTCAGTCTATGATAAAACGATTCAGGAAAACTGCCAAAAAAAGAACTTCCGAAGTGTTTTTTTATTTGATTGTGAAGAGCTAGAGAACTAGTATTAATGAATAAGAAGAAATTTTTAAATAAATATTTAACTTTTACGGAAATAAAACCAATTATTTGAATTTATACTTTTTTTCATTTTTAAGTCATCTGATTAGTGATTTATTTCATTTAATGAAGACAAAATTTGTATTCGACCAATAGAAACCTGAGGAATTAGTAAACCAAAATTCTGACCTGTGATCATTGCATACGTACTTTAAAAATAATGCAGATCTAATCACTAGATTACAAGAGTTTTGGCTATAAAAATTGTATATACGAAATTCTTTTTCTCGGATGAATGCATTATATAATTAATTAATTAATTATTTATTTATTTTGCTCCTCTTTTTTATAATAGAAATGTAATGTTAGCTACTGAATCAAATTTATCTGACCTAATTAGCAACTTAACTAGAATCTTTAGATTTAAGTCAATTCGTTATATAGATTTACTACATTAAAAATAGTTTGTTCATTTTATATGTTCTTTTCATTTGCCCTCATCCCCTCTTCCGAGAATCCTGGAAAGTGATGTTAACCAAAAAATTAACTTCAAACAGCCTTATTGAATGTATCCTTTTTATATCTTTTTTTATTACTATTACATCATTATACCTTTCTATTTAGAACTTTATGTTTATCATCATTAGGTCTTTATCCTCCTGTTTTCATGACTCCTTTGTTGAGGCCTTCTTCTGAACTTTATCATTTGGATCAGCCTTTACTGACAAATCGTTGGGCTTTGTCTTTTCTTGCTTCTTATCTTTATTCTTGTCACATGATGCTTGTTGTACTTCAGGGGCCAATTTCAGATAAAATAAGTGACATATTTATTCAAAAGAAACAATATAATTGCATTAGAGAATTTCGACTCAAAGACACATCCTATTAAGATGTGATCGAGTTGATCCCTTTTAATAAATTAGATAGTATTCAAATGATTGGTGATAAATATTTAGCAACGTAGTTAGATGGAATACAATATATATGATAAAAGTATACAGTCACATATACCATTATATAAAGTAGAGCTTAGAATATTAACTAGACCACCAAATTTAATTGATATGTTAAAAGAAGTAAATCAAATTTGAACTGTTATATAGATTACCTACATAATGGTTTATTTTAATTCATATTTATATTTATTAAGTTTATAGATTATGTACTATTAAAGAATGATGAAATTAAAGTATATAGATTAACTCATGATACAGTAAAAAATGTGTATATGTTGGTATTTAATAAGTTTGGTCGAAAGCAAGATTATGGAAAATGTGCAAATTGTAACCGATATAACACATTGCCAGCTTGGTGTAAAACATGTGATCCTTAGAAAACAATACAAGAATAGATGAGTAGAAATAAAAATATTGATAATTACATTAAAGAATTTCAACTTAAAGCTATAAAATATAAAAATGTAATTGAATGGATTCCTTTTACTAGATTAGATAATATTCAAAAAATTGGTGACAGATTTTTAGCAACCTGGTTAGATGGTGAATGATATATTGGAGATGTATATAAATATATACGGTTACGTACATCACTATGTAAAGTGATACTTAAAATATTACATGGTTTACAAAATTCATTAGATTTTTTAGATAGAGTAAGTTAAATTATTTTGTTATTTATACAAATTCTTTTATTAATACATAAATTATATTTATATAAGTTTAAAGATTTTACGCAATCAAAGGATAGTAAGCTTAAAGTATATGGATTAACTTAAGACACTGCAACAAACGAGTATTTGTTAGTTTTTGATTTTAAAAAAAATAAGAATAAGGGAAAATGTACAAATTGCAATCAATATAACACATCTTATGCTTGGTTTCAGACATGTGATCCTCAAAAAAACAAACCAAGGATGGACAAGTGGAAATAAGAATGTCGATGATTGCATTAAAAAATTTCAGCTTAAAGCTACAAACTACAAAGATGTAATCGAATGGATTCCTTTTAATAGATTAGATAACATACAAATAATTGATGATAAATTTTTAACAACCTGGTTAGATGGAATATGATCTCTAAATTATAAAGATTTTAAATATACACAGTTATGTATACCATTATATACCATGGAGCTTAAAACATTGGCTAGTTTACAAAATTACAATTCTATTTTTTTAAAGTACATACTTATTTACATAATTATTTACTAGTAAACGTTTATTAAAAAAAGCCAATATTATCACCAGCTACGCCTATTTAATTTTCTGGAAAAGAAAAATAGTATCTTTTAAACTTATACTTATTTTTTAAAAAAGTTAATTTAGAAGCTTTCTAATACTCATATAATATAAGACAAAATAAATGTATAAGTGTTTTTTATTATTATTTGATTATTTATTTTATATGAAAATAGAATAAAATCGAAAATTTTTTAATTTCATTATTTTGATGGCAGATGAATGCTATCTAAAAAATTATAATTTTTTTCAGAAATACTAATCTTTTAAAAAATTCTGGATTCATGCAACATCAGCAAAATATATTAATATAAACCTACGTAAGTTATTACACTCTGAAATATTGCACAATAATTACGGTCTGGACATAATATTGCACAATAAATTGCGAAATATTGCGCAATATATAACGTAATATTATGAAATATATTACGCAATATTACGAAACTTATAGCATAATATTGCGTTATATTGCGCAATATTTTGAATTAATTCGAAACAATCCGAAATAGACGTAAATACATCAAAACAGCAAAATTTTATAAACTAACAGATAGCTACTAATAAGTAAGAAAAGCTAATCAATTCGAATTTATCAAATACTATTCGAAATATTTTAGCATATTTCGAATTAATTCAAAATAAATTAAATAAAAATATGAATAATAGGAAATATATTTAAATGCAATAATTATACGATTTATTAGATATTTTCGAATTATTTCGAAAAAAAGCTAAATTTATAACCTTTATTTAAGTAAA